TTTTTAGTAGAAACAGGGTTTCACCATTTTGGACAGGCTGGTTTTGAACTGACCTCAAGTGATCCACCCACCTTGGCCTCCCAAAGTGCTAGGATTACAGGCGTCAGCCACCGCCTCTGGCCAGTTTTTATTTTCTTACTTTGAAATTGTTTGCAAAGATGAGGTCCTCCTATGTTGCCCAGGCTGTTCTTGAACTCCTGGTCTCAAGCAATCCTGTGTTGGTCCCCCAAAGTGCTGGAATTATAGATATGAACTACTGTGCCTGGATTTTTTTTTTTTTTAACTATTTAAACTCTTTTGTTAAAAATTAAGAAAAAAGGATACATGTTAGCCTAGCCCTACAGAGTCAGGATCATCACTATCTCTGCTTTCCGCCGCCACTTCTTGTCCCGCTGGAAGGTCTTCAGGGGCAGTAACCCACATAGAGCTGTCTCCTATGATAAGAATGCCTTCTAGAATACCTCCTGAAAGACCTGCCTGGGCTGTTTTACAGTTAACTTTTTTTGTAAGTAGGAGTATACTCTAAAGTAATCATAAAAGGTATAGTATTGTAAATACTAGGTGATAAGAATTTCTCAGCTCCATTATAATCTGTGGTACCACCATAGTATATGCAGTCTGTGCTTGAAGCATCATTATGTGGTGCGTGACTGTGTAATTTAAACAGGGCAGTATGTTATCTTATATATCAGATGCATTTCTTTTTGTTTGTTTGTTTGTTTGTTTTTTTGAGACGGAGTTTCATTCTTGTTGCTCAGGCCTGAGTGCAGTGGTGAGATCTTGGCTCACTGCAACTTCTGCGCCCCCCTCCCCCAACCAGTAGCTGGGACTACAGGCATCTGCCACCACGCCCGGCTAATTTTTATTTTTAGTAGAGATGGGGTTTTTCCATGTTGGTCAGGCTGGTCGGGAACTCCAAACCTCAGATGATCCGCTCACCTTGGCCTCCCAAAGTGCTGGGATTACAGGTGTGAGCCACCGCGCCCACCCAGATGCAGTTCTTGAGATACAGAATCATAGACCATATGAAGTTCTTATTTTCTTCCCTTTGTCAGATTCATTGGCTTTCAACTGATTTGTTTCTCCAGCTCTTTTGTTTTTTGAGAAATTTCAAATATATGAAAAGTTAACAAACTGTTATAATAAACACAAGTATTCTTTTCTCCTAGATGATAGACTGTGGAATAATGAACAATATACTTGTCACCTACAAATTGACATTTTTTTCATTTGTCTGCTAAGCTAATTGAAAGGAAGCAGGAGCCACTGTGCCCAGCCTATTTCTTTCTCTTAAACAAAATGTATGTACTCTATACCATATTTTGTACTTTGCGTTTTTTACCTAAGAGTATATACTGGGAATCATTCTGTATCTGAATATAAGATCTTTCTCATTTTTTGTTTGTGACTGTATACTACTTACTTGTGCGGATGTATTTACTTTATTCAACGAAACCTCTACTGATGGGTATTTGGGTTGTTGTCAGTTTTGTGTTATTAAAAGAATGCTTTGATGAATAACTGTGCATTTATTGTTATGTATTTCTGGAGGTATGTTTTCAGGTAGATCCTAGAAAAAATTGCTGGATTAAAAGATAAATGTGTAAATAATTTTGTTAAATGTTACTCAATTTTTCTCTATAGTGTTTGTGCCATTTTACATTCTGCCATGTGTGTGTTTTTTTTTAATCCACATCCCATCAACAAAATATGTGGTCTTTTATATTTTTTGTTAATCTCACAGATATTAATGGTATATCAGAGTAATTTCATTGAGGTTAATCATTGCTCCATAGGTTTAAGGGCCGATTTTCTCTTTTCTTTTGCTTATACTATAAACAGATTTTTAACCTTTACCTTGATTTTTTTAAAGGATTTTTTTTATGTATTAGGAAGATGAGCTTTTAGTGAAATAAGTTGTCAAGTATTTTCTTCAGTCAACTTGTCTTTTATCTTTGCTTATGGTGTTCGTTGTCATATAATGTTTATTTTATGTAGTTTATTTTTCTCTTCCCATGTTTTATTGCTACTGGATTTTGAGTCATAGTCTTTTCCCACTGCTAGTTATACTTTTAGCAATAGTATGATTTAATTCCTTATGTTTAGATCTGTGATCCGCTGGGGGATCCCCTTCTGGTGTATAGTGTGAAGTTTAGACAGAATTTTATTTTATTTTCCAAATGACAATCCAGTTATCTAAGTCCTGCTTATTAAATTTAAAAATCCATTCTTCCCTTAGTATATTGACATATTACCTTCATCATATACTAGATTTTTCTTCTGTTTCATTGTCTTTCTGTTCACTTACTTGCTAATACTCTCCTGATTTAAATATAGAGGCTTTATAGTATATTTTAATATTAGTTGGGCTTTAACAGCTTTATGGAGATACAGTTCACATGTCTCACGGTTTACTTACTTAAAGTGTACAATTCAGTAGTTTTTAGTATTATTTACAGAGTTGTGCAGCTGCCACCACAATTAATTTTAGAACATTTTCATCACCCTAAAAAGAAACCCCATACACATTAGCAGTTACTGTTTAGTGTTCTTTCCCATCTTCTACCCCTAGGTAACTATTAATCTACTTTCTGTCTGTATGGATTTGCCTATTCTAGACATTTCTTAAAAACTGAATCACTGTATGTGGTCTTTGTGACTGTTTTTTTTTTAGTTTTAATTTTTATTTTTTCACTTAGCATGTTTAGTTGCTTGTGCTTTTGGTGTCATATCTAAGAAGGCTTTTTCTAACCTAAGGTCACAAAGATTTATTCCTGTTTTTTCAAAGAGTGTTACAGTTTCAGTTCTTACATTGATTTTGATCCGTTTTTAGTTTTTTGATGAGTAGTATAAGGAAGGGGTCCAGCTTCATGCTTTTGCATGTGGATATCCAGTTATTCCAACACTACTTGTTGAAAAGACTGTTCCTTCCTGATTGCATTGTCTTGGCACTCTTGTTGAAATCAATTGACTGCAAATATAAGGGCTTAATTTTGGACTCTCCATTTTATTTTGTTGATCTATATGTTTATTCTTATGCCAGTACATTGCACTGATTACTGTAGATGTGTGGTAGTTTTGAAGTAGGGAAGTGTGAGTCCTCCAGCTTTCTTTTTTTTCCAGATTGCTTTGACAAGAAAAAACAAAGGCAGCTGGGATTTAGATAGGAATTGCACTGACTTTATTAATCTTTTTGAGGGTATTGCCATCTTGTCAATTTTCATTAATTTTTCAGTTTTCATTAATCAAATTGAAAATTGAATTAAATTAATTCAGTTTTCATTAATCTATTTGAGTGTATTGCCATCATTGTCTTTTTGTCCATAAGCATGAGATGTCCTATTTATTTAGCTCTTTAATTTCTTTTTTTTAATTAAAAAGAAATTTTATTTCCAAGCTCTTCAAAGACCGTTACAAACATGAATAATGTATCCATCTAAAAAAGTGTTCCAAATTAAATCAAAGGCACATCATCAAAGTAAAACAATTGTGACGTTAAGAATTATTTTAGGTTGTAATATTTTCATGTTAGTTTTTAACCATTTACAATGTTCTGTGGGTCACATTTTAAACATTTTTAAATATATGAAATTCTGTATTTCTTTACAGCCACGACTACAAAGTAGAGGAACTTAAGAATACAAAGATCGAATCTGCTTCATTTATATACACGATGGGGCAGCCTAATGCACTTCATAACATTAACTTTTCCAAAAAAGTTTGCTAAGAAACTGCTCCTATATTTAGTGTTAAAAATAAAACAATCTTCCCATGTAGATAAATCAAGACATCTGTCAATTAGTAAAGCCTATTCTTCCTCCCAGCAATTTGTACTTTCTTGTATTCATTTAGGAATTGTGAATTCATGAGAAAAGAACACATTTTTTATGGTATAAATATCTTCCAGGAACAACAGTTTACAAGTTTAAATAAACACAACTATTTTCCTTCTTAAAATGTAAACATCCAGTAAATAAAACATACATGATGTTCCAGGTATAGAAATATTAGTAACTCACTTACGAAACAGGTGCATTTTGGTATATTTGGTGGTAAGGTTTTTGTTTGTCTTATGTATAAAAGTACTTGCACAAAAAAACAGGCTATTACTATTTAAAACTCTATTCCTTCACCCAGTTTCCTCACTCAAGTAGAAACTCATGAATTTCTGTGATTTTCGCTATAGGACCAGGCCACAGGAAAGGGCTAAAACATCTCTAATTAGAGTTAGGGAAAAGTGTTTTCTTGAGACTTGAAGGCAGTCGTTCGTCACTTTGTGCTTGAAGGCATTCCTCAGCGAACTTCTCTCGAGTCTTCAGAGTAAAGCACAGGATCTGGGCTCCCGGAAGGGATTACTTCCAGTCTGTAACACCCACCAGCAGGGCATCCTTGCAGGCATTCTGCATACAGTACTGTTGAAGCTCTGCAGCTGCCTGAGAGACCTTGATCCTCTTCACGCCAGCCTCCAACTCGAGCTGCTCCACCAGGCGCTGCAGGGCGCTCGCGCTGGCCCCGGAGGACATGGCGGCGGCGCTGGGCTCCGAGGGCCTAGCTCTTTAATTTCTTTAAATAATGTTCTGTAGTGTTCAGAGGATTTTTAAAGCTAAAAAATTGACAAATTATGAAGCGAATTTTTATGAAAACATCTGAATACTTAGTGAAACTTCTAGGAATTGACCTGAAGATGTTTGTGGTGTTGCCCCTTTCTTTTTTCATGTTTCTTGTAATAAGTAATACAAAATCAAGTTGTTCAATCCTGTTTACACTTCTTAAATTATGTTTTGGGTTTTGAAAAATAGTTTAGAGACTTACAGTTCCCAAAGGAATAATTTTAATTTTGGTTTGTAGTGAAGATTTGGGAAACATTAGGAGAGATGAAAAAAATTTTATTTGGTTTCAAGAAGAAAACCAGCATTAACCTGAAATGCATGTACTATATATATGTACATATATGTGTATGTATGTATCTATATCTATTTCTTCCCCTTCCTGCCATGCAGAGTTCTATATGAAGGGAAAGAACGGCTTATTCCAGGATGTGAAGTGATCCTAGCCACACCCTATGGTCGCTGTGCCAATGTCAACAATAGTTCAACTACTTCACAAAGAATCTTTATCACTTATCGAAGGGCTTCTCCAGTTCGACCCCAGAATTCCTTGGCTGTAACTGATATCTGTGTTATTGTAACCAGTAAAGGAGAAACTCCTCCTCATACCTTCTGCAAAGTTGACAAAAACTTAAATTGTGGAATGGTAAGAATAAAGTTTTCATCTTCAAAGTTTCATATGAAAATGAAAAGGGATATGTTTTGGATTCCTGTTTACTGTTGGGTATATACTTTAGTCACATTTTATATATTCATGATGCTTGTTTTTATTGTTTCCTAATTTTTATGATTTATAATAATTTTAAAAATCCTATCCCATGATTTATAATAATTTCATCTTTAAGTCAGGGATATTTGGGGGGGAATAAATCCTAATATTGTCTGTATTACATTAACAAAGGTTTTATTCACTTTTGAATTTCAGTGGTGTCTTTGGGGACAACTGCGGGGTTAGAGTGGGTAGAAGCTCTCCTTATATTCACTCATTCATTCATTCATTCATTCATTCATGTTTTTGCTTTTTTATTTTTTTGAGACAGGGTCTTGCTTTGTTGCCCAGGCTGGAGTACAGTGGTGCGATCACAGCTCACTGCAGCCTTGACCCCCCACCAGGCTCAAGTGATCTTCCCACCTTAGCATTCTGAGTAGCTGGGACTACAGGCTAGTAGAGACAGGGTTTCATCATGTTGGCCAGTCTGGTCTTGAACCCCTGACCTTAAGTGATCCGCCTCCCTTGACCTCCCAAAGTGTTGGAATTACAGGCGTGAGTCACCGTGCCTGGCCTGTTTTTGTTTTTGAGACACAGACTCCTTAAGTTTCCTAGGATGCTCCTGAACTCTTGGGCTCAAGAGAAAATATTGCAGTTTTGCAAACTTATTTTTTTTTTAGATGGAGCCTCACTCTGTCGCCCAGGCTGGAGTGCAGTGGCGCGATCTTGGCTCGCCTCAACCTCTGCCTCCTGGGTTCAAGTGATTCTCCTGCCTCAGCCTTCCAGGTAGCTGGGGCTACAGGCGTGTGCCACTGTCCCCAGCTAATTTTGTAGTTTTAGTAGAGATGGGGTTTCACCATGTTGGTTGGCCAGGATGGTCTCGATCTCTTGACCTTGTGATCCACCTGTCTTGGCCTCCCAAAGTGCTGGAATTACAGGTGCGAACCACTGCACCCAACCCATGCATACTTACTCTTTAAAAGGAGTCTAGTAAAGAAGAAAATGAACATAAATGTTCGACTCATAGTTTTTAAAGACTACAGCTTACTTTTGGTTCAGATTTACTTTGAAAAATATCTTGAGGTCAAACTAATATTAGCTTAATGTTGTATAGGCAGAGGTGACAAATGCACCCAGAACAATTAGTGAGGACAGGGTTGCCTCTGGAGGTGATGACCTCATAGCACTCCAGTGACCCCAGTCTTCCCCAGTTTGGGCTCCAGTGCACACTTCGCTTTGTGCTGTGTCTTACAAGAAGGGGCAATCTCTGAGTGATTGTGAAATTCTAAATCTTTTGAAATGGCCTTCATATCAGTTTGATTTTTGTAGCAGTTTGATTTTCTTACTCTCTTCTTTTATTTTCGTGTTCTGAACTTCATGCTTTGCTGTATTTTATACTACATAGTTCATTATATAAACATGTGTTTTAAATACTCTTCTGAGTAAATAATAGGAATCTTTAGTTGATACCAAACAAAATCAATTTCTTTTCACTCTTTTGTCTTTTTATAAACCTAATTTATGTTTTACAGTGGGGTTCCAGCGTGTTTCTGTGTTATAAGAAGTCTGTACCTGCTTCAAATGCAATAGCATATAAGGCTGGTAAGTGAGTTAAAAAAAATTGTCTCAATTGCTGTAGTTATTGGTGCATATTAACATTTGGCTAAAAGAGACTATGCTCCCTTATGTAGTTTGTAGAATTGATCTATTCATAAAATTGTCTATAATTTTAGCATATAAAGATATGTGTTTTCTTAAATATATTACATATACAAGATATATTAATACCCCGACCAAACATGCTGTTAATTTAATTTAAACATTTATCCAAAGCAAACATATGGGGAATAATCATTCAAGCTTTTGGTCTACGTTTATAGACTTAACAGTATAATGGAAATTTGCTTACTCTCTGACCTTTTATATTTTGGCAATCAGAAAGGTGTCAAACTGCATCTTTACTTCTTATATTTCCTTCTCTTATCTCTTTGTGTCTGATTTGAAACCACATGTTACTTGCCATGAAAGGTGGACTTGCTTCCTTTCTCCTTTGTTGCAAAGAATCAGCTATATGGAGGAGAGGAGGGCCTGAGAAACTTTTCTGCCATGAAGTGTTTGAGAAATCTATCGCCACATTCTTACTGCACATTAAAGTGTCAAGGGCTGTAAAGATTTAAGTGTCACCTCTTCATTCCACTGGTATGGTGGGATAAAAACTGAAAATACAGGTATGCTCCAGTTGTAAATAGAAAAGATACTGGAATACTTCTTTGTGAAAAGAAGCAGTGCTAATTATTTTTTGATTATGCACAGTTCTTGAAATAAAGTTTTACTTCAGGGAAGTCAGGTGAATTCATATCCAAAAAATCGTGATTTTCATAAAAACATTCATACTAATGAACCAAACCATTTAATTTATAATATAAAAATAATGGCAATAACTAACATATAAAATTCAGTATCATTTTAAAATCTGATACCGTAGGCTGGGCATGGTGGCTCACACCTGTAATCTCAGCACTTTGGGAGATTGAGGCGGGCAGATCACTTGAGGCCAGGAGTTCGAGACCAGCCTGGCCAACATGGTGAAACCCTGTCTCCACTAAAAACACAAAAATTAGCCGATCGTGGTGGCATGCATCTGTAGTCCCAGCTACTTGGGAGGCTGAGGCACGAGAATTGCTTGAACCCAGGAAGCGGAGGTTGCAGTGAGCTGAGATCGTGCCACTGCACTCCAGCATGGGTGACAGAGCAAGACTGTGTCTCAAAAAAAAAAAAAAAAGTGATACTATTAATACTGCTGTAATATGTTGTTTATGTGTGATTTCCTATTTTTTGTTGTTGGTGGTGGTGGAGAAAAGGTATCACTTAAAAAACTTATAGAAAGAAGCTGTACCAAAGTATTCAGTTATTTGATATGAGACACTTATTTTAGAATAGAGAGTTTTGGATACTGAATTTGGGCTCAAAATTCTACTGATTTTGAGGTTTTTCACTTAGAGATGGTCTATATCTGATGGTCTAGACCTCAGAGGCTAATGAACTGATGCCATGTAGCTAATTTATTCTGAGGGGGCTTTATTGTGGTTCTCAGAGTATCCCTTGCTCCTACTTTCTGGGTCTCACATATTCTGTACTTAGTCACAGTGTTTCTGTCTCGTTTACTTTTCATGTTGCGTGCCTTTTACACTGCTTCTCTCTCAAGATGAGTTTAGGGGCTGTGATAATTTCTGTTGCCTCAGCATTATTTCATAACACTTGTCTCTTCCCTGAATTTTTCACAGAAGACTAACTGAAATAGTTGGTAAATTTTTCTGTATGTTTCTTACCATTTTCCACAAGGTGTTGGCGTGTGTAGAAGAAAATACATTAAGATTGGTGATCAAGATTGGTTGAATGGAATCTCAACTAGTATATTAATACATTTTTATGTTACAATGAACTATAAATCCATGGGTAAAATATCAGGGGTAAACGTGTTTATATTAGTTTCTGTTATAGCAAGAGAGAAATCAATTTTAAAATACCACACAAGTATTGGCTTGAAATTTGGCATTAAAATATTCCATTAATATCTATCATATGCAATTTATGGAAAAGTAAATATTAAAAAAATTTATTGTTGTCTCATTCTTCAAAAGGTTTAATTTTTAGATATCCGGAAGAGGACTATGAGTCGTTTCCACTCTCGGAATCAGATGTACCTCTCTTCTGCCTTCCCATGGGAGCTACTATTGAGTGTTGGGATCCTGAAACCAAATATCCACTTCCAGTTTTTTCAACTTTTGTCTTGACAGGTTCTTCAGCCAAAAAGGTATGTTTTTGCCTCAGTGATTAAATGCATTTTGTCCATGTTTTTATTTCATAAAAAGGTTAAGTTTTATTTGAATGTTAGGATTATTTGGACACGATACATTTTGGTTTAAATTTACACTGTCATCCCCAAGATGAGAAATCAACATGAAAATTGCTATCAGGGATATTGATACCTCTGGAACTTCTACAGAAGCAAAGATAAAGTCTTTCTGGATAGACACCTTCAAAACCCAGGTGTCAAGATGAGATGATTATGACAGATGGAGGACATAGGTACCGTAGAAAGAATCAACAGACACAATTAAAAAGCTGGGTTAGACCCTCACGACATTGAAATGACAGAATGATGATATAAAGGATGTTATAAGTTAAAATATCATTGAGATGACTTATGAACTAATGGAGGGGCTCAAAATACCAAGGAAGGAACAGGATATTTTAAAAAATGAATAGATTGGGAAAAGAATCAAGTGTTTAGAAATGAAAAATATGGTCCTTAAAATTAAAAATTCAGTGAGTGAGTTAAACAGCAGAGATAAGGCCAGGTGCGGTGGCTCACGCCTGCAATTCCAGCACTTTGGGAGGCTGAGACAGGTGGATCACTGCAGACCAGGAGTTCAAGGCCAGCCTGGACAACATAGCATAACTCCGTCTCTACTGAAAATACAAAAAATTAGCCAGGCTTAGTGGTATACACCTGTAATCCCGGCTACTCAGGAGGGTGAGGCATGAGAATTGCTTGAACCCAGGAGACAGAGGTTGCAATGAGCTGAGACTGCACTGTTGCACTCCAGCCTGGGCTCTAGAGCGATACTCTTTGTTAAAAAAAAAAAAAGACAAGAAAACAGAGATAAGCCATCATGAAGGGTAATTAGTGATGTTGGGAAGATTGGGTTTACATCTAAATGTGTACATACAAATGATAAAACATAAAAGGAGTTTAAAAATGTAGGCAGATATAACTAGAACGGTCTAACGATATTAATGAGGTACAGAAGGAGAGACTAGAAAAGGATCCTAAGAGCTAATGGAGGCTTGAGAGTTTCCAGGTTGATGTCTGAATGAAAAAATTGAGTCTCCAAGCATTAAAGAGTACTCTGAATCTTTCAACAGAGAAAAATAAACAACAGTAAATAGTAATCCCACCTCTTTTTTTGGGGGGGGCCGGGGATAGAGTTTCACTTCTTGTTGCTAGGCTGGAGGGCAGTGGCGCCGATCTCAGCTCTCTGAAACCTCCGCCTGCCAGGTTTGAGTGAGGTCTCCTGCCTCAGTCTCCTAAGCAGTGGGATTACAGGGCATGTGCCCCACGCCCAGCGTAATTTTGTTATTTTTTCTTTATTTTAGTAGAGATCCAGGTTTCGACCCTGTTCGTCAGGCTGGTCTTGACATTCCTGACCTAAAGTGATCCATCCACCTCGGCCTCCCAAAGTGCTGGACTTATATACAAGGTGTGGGCACCATGCACTGACTGTCCCACCTCTTTTTATCATAGTGCTATCATGAATAGCAGAGACAAAACAGCTAGAGAGAAAAAGACATTTATTGTCTTATGTAAAAACATATATTGTATATAAGGTATAATTACATAAGCTGATTTATAAAGAAGGACAAAAATAAAACGAATATTCAGAAAAAAAGCTGATAGCAGTAGAAATTTACAAAATTGAAAACTTTCTCTTTTTTTTTCATACAGCAGTTCATTCTTGTCCCCCAGTGCTAGAGTGCAATGGCACAATCTCGGCTTGTACTGCAACCTCTGCCTCCTGGGTTCAAGTGATTCTCCTTGCCTTGACCCCCCAAGTTAGCTGGGATA